ATTTCCTTATATGGTAGGATGAAAATACCGCGATATTACGGCACGCTGTAACTTATGGTGTTACGGTGACAGATGTATAATAATTATGTATATTTGAATATATAATCACTATACTACAGGTATAGTGATTATCGGGTAAACACCCATAATATTATTCACTTCACACTGTAACCGTCATTGGTGACTACGTCGAGTAGACATTCCGTTCCACCACGTGTTTTAAAACCAACTGAATTACTAATAAATCAAATATTCATTTTTTCCTCGCAATACATTTTGATAGTCGTGCAGAAACCATCTGACATTTGTGCTTGATCCTTTTGAGGGCGATGAACATTCCATGTTGTGCAACAGTGAAACAGGCTGTCATCAAAATAAGTCCAACTACAATGAAAATCATAAGTAATATCGATAGGTAATAAGACGAATCATTGTTATAAAGATAAGAGGGAACCAGATCTCCGAAACCAATGGTTGTGAGTGTGATGATACAGAAATATAAAGATGTTGTGAAATTCCACTGCAGAGTTTGTGATTCTGTAATTGTCAGATAAAGTGCAAACACACATATGTGGAGAATCAGCAAAATAGTTAAAATTCCAGTCGGAATATCATCAATATTTGAATCGCTTCTTTTTTTCGGTTTTCCTTTCACTGAGCCCATCAGGACACGTGACGTAGCAATGACTAATGGCAATTGTCCGCGGGGATGGGACTCCTTGGAATTTATGCTCGAAGAACTATTCATACTCAAAAGTCGAGCGCGGGAAAACGAGGAGACGGAAGTTGCAGAGTCAGACCAACTTCTTTCGCGGCGCATATCCGTCCCCTCACAGTGAGAATACACAGCAGAGTTGCCATTGAGAAACGCAAACGCCAATTCATCATATGTGCCACGCAAATCTGTAGAGTGTGCAGTTTTCACTAACATGAGAGTCGACCCCGGGGTTGCAGCACCTTCCGTAGAACTTGTCCTTACCAAGGAAGGCTGTGGATATTCAGTATCATCGACCACGTTACCGCTTATAGTTGGTATTGAATTAGTAAATGCTGTGTTGCATTCGACTTTGTGTGATTTTCTGAACTCAGAAATCGAGTGAATTCTAATGCGTAGCGATTTCCGTCCAGACTGGTACACTTTGGAAAGCCTTCTTGATACAGCCCTGGGAGGCATTGCCACCATCTGACCCATACTAGACAGATATATTAAAACCAGAGGTATACCAATAAACGCGTAGAAAACACAGACAAGTCGACCTTCGCTTGTGGCAGGAACGAGATGTCCATAACCTATAAACATTGAGAATATTCTTAGTTATTGACACATTTTTGCAGTTTACAATGATATTAATGAGGTTATCATGTGATTACTGCAAAGTATGCACTCAGGCAGTACGGGTCTATCGATACGATCTTATTACATTTGTATTATACATCTGTTTCATGCTTGTAGTAAGAATATAGAGGTTATAGGCCGAAACAGAAAGAAAAAAAAACGTTTTGCCCTGAATGATTGGATTCCACTTCTGCGACCACAGTAAATGAGTTCGAATATGACGTCAATGATCTGTAATGTAGTTTACTCCCGCTGTGTCGCCACAGGAAGCGCTGTCCCAGCACAGAGCTGTGTCATATGACGCCTTACTATTCGATTTTGGCTAAAATAGCCTTCCACCGCCATTTTACACTAGGAATAGAACAACTTGAAAATCGCTCATAGAACGCACTCCACTCGAGGACTATTCAATGTCTCTGAGTTATTTAGTAAAGAAATCACTGACATGATTTATTATATGAAAGTTATTAGATTATATACGGGGTATTGTGTTATCAGAAATATCGTAATAACGACAGTACATCTTTCATAGTTTGTGTGATAATGGAATAAGATGGAAATCAGACTTATTTCATTGGGAAAATGTCATACTCCATTGATATTTCAGATATTACAGAAACTATACAGACAGGTTCTAGATCACTAGGACAATCAAATAATTATTGTGAACGCGGATGCTAAAAACCACAACAAGATTTGTTGACGCGTCGGCGTTATTCGCAAAGACTACAACACAATTCAAACACTAAACAAGCTCAATCGGGTCAGCAACTGACTATATGACACTCAATGCATTCTTGTCAATAAAAAAAAATTGAAAATCGAAAATTCCGAGAATTCTGTATGATAAAACAATTATAAACTGCAAACTTCGGGGTTTATACCGATTTTCCTCTTGGTGTGGGACACTCGGTTGCGCTTTGGTGAATAACTGTCACACCAAGGAGAAAAATATTCATATATTTGCAGTTAATTATTATTTAGTAATGCGCCAACGTATTTATTAAGTTCCGGTTTCCCAACGAGATTTGCTGGAGTAAACACAATTTCTTTCAATTAGTCAGTGTGTACCGAACAGGTTGCCCCCATCAACCACTACTTGAAAAAAAGAATAAACATTTGTGACAACATATGCAAGCAAGTGTAGTAATATAATTGATAGGACCAATAGGACGGGGTTTTACACTTCATTAACAATATTTAACGCAGCAACACAAGAGTGGATATGAAGAGTTTAATGGGACAGTTTGTGTTCAAGAGACAAGTAGAGTGAATTGACGCGTTCCATATTGGCAGCTGTTTTATTCATAATCTCATCTGAAGTTTCGTCGCATAGTGTTTAGTTAAGTTAATGTTTATCACTAACTTTATATACCGGTATATATATACGCCTTGAATACCTAAACATAAATTCATTATGCAAACGTCAGTCAATGTTCAACTGTGTGCACTATTGCTGTGTTTGCAAAAATAAAGTACATTTTGGATTTATAAACTGTTTGATCTGCGGTGCAATATAAAAAAAAAACGTTTGTCACTTCCATTGACATCATGCACGATTGACATCAAGGTTATTGGTTTCAAGCTGTGCTTTAAATGAGTGTTCATCACATAGAATATTTGAATATAGATGTAAAATGCCGTGTCCAGATTCTCTGTCATTATTGGCTACGTTACCTCCCGCACATAGTGAACTATTTCCATAGTGACGTTATTTGCGAATAGTAAAACAAACTATTCGTCACGCGCATGAGCGGGGCTGTTTATATAGGGACTTGAATACGCATATCAAATGTCAATCAGACAAAATCCACATTTTTCCTCTCTGACGGGCAAGGAATTGGCTGACCTAGTATTCTACAATGATTCGCAATTGACCAGAAAAACTAACAAGTAACTTATAAAACCTTAGCTGAGCAGTATTGAAAAAATACTGCATCGAAGCCGCCCATTTACAGTGACAACGTTGACACAATGTCAGATTATATCGCTGCAAAGACGTACACATTTAAATTTACAACACCAGTATTCAATGTTGAATAAACATGATTGAACTGTATTTATGAATCAACGTTACGTAATTACGTTAAAATTAGATTGGAATGCTGACACTGACATTTACGTAATAAATTCGGATTTAATATATATATATATATATATATATATATATATATATATATATATATATATATATATATATATATATATATATATATATAATTTGTTCAAATCGTGCTAAACATTTGTGTATGCCGATTGTATATGCGAATACTGATGTATAGTGATTGTATCACAGAACCACATTACATATTTGGGTTACGTGACAGGGCTGTGTCTATCTCGATGGCATCTATATTGACGCTTTTATTATATATGTCTTTTTCGCGAGCATGTCTTTTTAGCGAATTTAGCGAAAGAACTGATTCGCTAATTCAAGATGTCGCTAATGACTTTATTAAAAATGAAAAATGGCTAAGGCTTGGGGTTTGGATACAGTAATCCGGAACATAAAAATCTGTCGCGCTTCTTAATTAAACTTGACATTTTTTTCATGGAGGTGATAACTGCGCATTTTTTTAGGCACGCGACAGACAAGTATTGTGAAAACAGGAAATCAACAATGACAAGAGAGATTCGCTAAATCAACATTTCGCTATTACGTCATTTTACCACAATTCGCTAAAATTGCATGTCGCTTTTTCAACATGTTTTACAGTATGCTATCACGGCGTTAACCAAGCAAATAATATAACCAATTCAAATAACATACAGCAAGAAAATGGTATATAGTACGTCAACGCCAACGCTGGGATACATCTGCTGGCTGTCGCAAATAATGATTTGCGTAAATTTTATTCAATGTTGTTGTTATTATGCACGCGGTTATAACTAGTACGTTCGTTTTCACATTACCTACGCTCTATACATCGCCTGAAATGGTGTTCTCTCACTCGATAATATTAAATGTCTGCCAATTCCGTGAAATTCAAATTCAAATATATTATAAAAACTTACCAATTGTAGTGATAACCGTAAGACTGAATACACAAGCAGACATATAATTCCACCTAGTGATATTGGTTTTGATGCCTTGCTGGAAATTTTCGTACAACATTTGTTCATATTTATCGAGAAATTTCTTTACAACTGTGCGTCTGGTAGTTCTGTTTTGCGGGACAGAGAATGTATTTCCTGTCATATGATCCGTAATATTTGTTTTCATTTCTTGCATTCTATTCAGTTCCTGCAACTCATGAGGACTTTCGATGACTAGAAAGATGTATGCACCCCCTAAGAGGTATACAAGAAACAGGAACTGCCATACCGCACATCGACGTAACATCTTGCAGTAGGACATATTGCCTGACATCGACGCCATAGTAAAGATCAGTTAACAAGAAATGAATTAAACGCGAGCAAACATCACACTTTAAAACCAAGTCCACAAAAAACTATAAATCTGAATTCACATAATGGGTTTCCACTTGACAGCACTCAACTGTTTCCAAGATACAAGCTGTCCCCTTGCTTACATTATCGTAAGTCATTGTTTTAAAACTCATTCTGGTCTATATTTATCAAATAATATATAGTGATTATCAATTCTTTTCATTATATTAAATACCCAATAATAAAAAATAAAACGAGTGAGAAATGAATACCAGTGTAAATTCTGGTAAAAACACATATGTGATAAAAACACATTAAGTACGGGATAGTAAGTATTTGTAATATATTTCATCTAGATGCAATGAGTGAAATAATAAACATCTGTGTACATTGGCGAGGTATAATATGTAAATGTCCCAACTTTTCCAATTTTCGACAAAATCGTGATCGTTTGTGTAATGAACAGCGATAAACCAACAGTCAACACTATTTATGCCTTCGGCCATCCTCATACATTCATACAGGCATTTAGTTTTTGCGTTCGATATAGCATACTAGATCAAATTATAAGATTTTGAATTATTTCGAACTTACTCGCGAGTGAAAAACTGTTGTCCAACAGTCAACCACAGAAAGTAAACAAAACTGAAATTAGTCGGCAAATTTGAACCAGAACTTGATATAATGCACGCTTGCCTGCCATGTTACGCAAGAACAGTATCCATATAACCTCGTTTTCTGACTGGGAGTAGTTATTAACATGTATCGTGGATGCTCATCTACATGTGTGTTTGCTCATTCAATAATATTACTTGTTGTTTATTCAGTTTTATTCTTTCGTATTCGTAATTTCCTTGTATTATTAGATCATGTTTTGCTTTATCTATTCGTCTTTATTTTGTACAATTCCAACACAGATTCGAGTTACATAAGCCATTTAGTAATAACTACTATCAGCACTAACGCAATAGAAATCAGTTGCAAGGTCAAGTTAAAGCTGATATATCAATATTACTATCTAATAATTGTGTTTTCCTCCAATCTTTAGTCTAGAGGTGTGAATCCTACTCAACCCTATCAACCCTATAAAAGGACACCTCATTGTATACTTCTTCAGTTGCATTCTTGTTACATTGTAGTTCCTTTGTTGTAACACTGTACGAATAAATAGTGTGTTGTTTAGATGTACTTTACGCTGTCTTTATTATTTTGAACCTGATCGAATGTGAGCGAATATCATTCACAACATGCGCGTAGCATTGCAAGTACTGAAAAGCAAAGCAAAGTGCAATATTATTCAAATTTCATACAATTCATTTTCACATCCATAAGTCAGAGCTGTAATACTCCTACTTCAACAAATTGATATCTCGAAGTCACTGGGAATAGCATAGACCCGTATATTTTAATAAATCACGCAACTGTAAAAATTACATTTTATACATTCATATACGAAAGTTTCATTGTGCTATTGTGTCCAAGCAGCAATAAAGATAAAAATCACTTATATATTCTCTGGTATAATATCGGTGACGAGTACTGCGTATACAGATACAAGCAGCAGGTGAACACTAAAACATCGGGATTTTATTGGCATGTTACGACACGGATTTCAAAGGCTCCACACCAAGTTCCTGTGCGAGTTTATTCTGTAAAGAAAAGAGAAAATATTATATATTATTACATGCCTTCATCCGCCCGCCAATCAAACACACTTTAGAATAGGAACATCCGGGGATTTTTTTCGGTCCAGTGAGCAATGTGCAGACCGTCGTGAATAGCAACAGAGAAGTTCAATGATCAAAGAAATTCCCGGAACTACTTTCGTTTGCTTGGAGAAAATGTATAAAAAATAAAAAGGTCAATCATGATGATGTTAATATTCAATATTTCAATAAAAGTTTGCAATCGCACACAATCCATCATCATGGTTGTCACATCCTATTTTTTCCAACAATCCATAACAAACGTATCTTCTTAATTTTAATGATTGCAACACAATATTACATCAACGATATTGAGTTGTTTATTGCCTTTCAATTGTATTTAAACGCAGACTGTGTCATGTACAATAAAATAAACACAGACAAGGGTGCTGACGAAGGAACAACACATGACAAAGTTCATTTTCTGTAAAATTCTTAGAAGTAGCTAGAAAACACATATTTTGGCAAAAATAAAAACCTTTGTTTGACATTAAAAATGAAAAAAAACATGCCAAGAAAGTGAGCAGAGCCTAACATAAAATGATATAAGCGTCACCAGACTGAGATACGCTTAAAGTATATGAAAGTATTTCCTTTGGCTATATGAGTAATCACAGAGGTGATTGCTGCCCAAATTGTCGCTGCAGATACCCTCCATTCCGCCTGATTACGCAAGAGCGTAATGATCTCAAGGTAACACGATACATCCCATAATGCAGACAGTTCAGTTAAGATAGTAAGAGTAGACAGTTAGAATGAGGACCACGGGATTTGCGATGGGAGAGTTAGGTCGAAGACTGAGTGAACAACAGGTCGGTTAAGTACGACTCACCACTCTGCGTTGATGTACAATTGGGCCCCGAAACGTGCAACTCTGAGTAGGTGTTATATTATAAATGATGAAAACGACATGCTTGCTATCAGATAGCGTCACCTTTTTTTTCTCTCAGACGACGAACCATATAAACAAACAACCCGATAACATGAGAGTTAATACATTCAAACCCTTACCATGAATTCTCCAAGGTTCTTGTGATACCGTATACCGCCCTCGGTGTCAACTTGCTGCATATGTATTCGTTCAGGGTCACCTGCTACGAGTACTTCAGATTCCCCTTCTGCCTGCAAATATACGTATCATGAGTAATGTGTAAGATTATTGAAATTGGACATCTGACATGTATCTCCAACCAGCCATTTCCACCAATTCGGCTGTATACGCTTTCATATAAAACACGCCCTCTGACGATAAAGCGCTCTTGGCCGCCAACATGTATATGACGTAACTTAGTGAAAGCAATGTGCGTCAAAGCGACGTTTAGTTGTGTAGTATTTCCCCATTTAGAATATAGAAAACATTGATGAACGGCCAGATATCAAAACAATATCGACACCAGAATCCCTCATTACCCTAAATTACATAAAAAAGATGCCTGGTCACTTGAACACAGGTGTATTGACATAAATATGTGCCTTCACATAGATATTTGCACTGCATTTTGATTGTAACTGATTGGATTGTAACTGATTGAATTAGTGAACCCATATAAATGTGTTAACCTTATTAGGCATACATGTACATAGTATAACCAACAATTTACCCTTTTACCATACAATCAAATACATACATTACAAACCAAGTCGTCCCATTGGTGTATAAACATCTTGCTGAAAAACTTACAGGACTGAGATTTCTACATATGTTCATCATGTCTTGCATTCTCTCTGCAAAGCCTGGAGCAAACGCCTCTGGATTTATTGCTATGAAACACTGGCCCTGGTAAAACAATGGGATCGAAATAATTGCACAACAAGTATTGGGAGGGTTTATACACAAATGCCCGCCCTCGTCTGCTTCACTTGTCTTGTCAATGACGCCAAGAAGTGTTTAATATACCTGGCACGATGTACAGTACAGAGGCATCATAATCTGGGATTGTATTAATTATACATTGATATTGGTATTCCCTAGATGGGCAGACTTGCAAAACATTCATTGCTGAATCTACTGTATCTAGTAGACGCTAGTGGTAGCTGCTGAACAATGTAATACGAATCATATATGTGACCATCCACTTGGATATTCCGGCTAAACCTTTGGAAAGCATTGCCTATAGAGGGCGACATAGCTAATGGTACATCCGAAGAAACGGACACGTGTATAATTGGTGGAGAGAAATATAAATCATTGTCACGCATTATTTTAGAAAAGTGGGAATGAAATACCCGCATGAAATGACGTCAGTTGAACATTCTAGAACACTATGAGTATCATATTAACATACCAAGTTGGCAACGCCACCTGTTGCTCTCCATTTGCGAATATTTGGTCCATATTTTGATCCAGCTAATAAACCACAGAATATCTCCACTAACATCGCTAGTCCATAACCTTTATAACCACCTAATAGATACAAAACGCAAATTGCAGTGTCATGACTAAAATAATCGAATAAAAAGATTAAAGATGCCAATAGTTTCAATTCGTATTCCAATTGTGCACTGCATAAACAGCATGCCTAGTTCTTTTGTTATATAATAAATTAATCAAAAACTAATTAGGTGAATATTTGAGATTAGACTATTATGCCACCAAATGTTGTGGAATGTCGCCCTCCCCAACAAAATTTGTTTTGTGACAAGTCTCTTGAAAGTTTGTCAACAATATCAGTAAGTAATATGAAAATAAACACAAGATGAATACTCGATTATCCTGTGTGGTTACAGTAGCTAAGAGACTAAGTCAGTCAGATTTGTTCAAGTATACATATTGTATTTCTATTTAAGTGACTGTTATGTAACCAAGTGAAGCAATTATCTGTAGAAGTTACAAACCAGTATTCAGGTTACACTTTTATGAGCAAATATATTTTTTTAGACCCTAATCACCAATACTCGAATTTGGTGTACACACCCCATTTATATTGTGCTCTAATTGTTACTAAAATAATAGAATGATACTCACTGGATTTCTCAGAACCTCCTAAAGGCATCAAACCACCACCATCCAGCACAGCCTTTGGATCATTAGTCTCAATACCTCTGCTATCAGAACCCCAACCGTTTGGTATGCTTATATCTTTCCTGTCATGGAATTCCACCTCCAAACATAAATATAATAATTTATTAACTGGCCTAGGAATTAAGCTATGTTTACTCACAAATGATCTGAAACATTCAGGTTATGTGGGTGAAATAGACAATAAAACACTTCACTGATATGCAAATAATAATGGTTTGTGAATTGTTATTAGAATATAAATTCTAATATTTTTATGGAAGATTTTCCTTTCAAAATTCAAAATAGTTCATCACAATCTACAATATACACTAGCATATTCTGCCTGAATGATTTCAAATATTGGGCTTTTCTGTAAATAATGCACTTCAATATTTACAGGAAACACTTGACTAATATAGTGCAAAGGTGATAATTGAAAGATGTATAGTTTATTCAAATATAATGTATTTACCTTGCCAACAGCTGCCGTTGATGTCGCCATATCCAGTACAAAACTGTCACCACCAGTGGCGGGTGCTGCCAAAGTTATTGGATTAGTTCCTAATACACACTCTCTTGCTCTTGTAGGCACTTGTAATGGTGAGGTGTTTGTAAATGACATGCCCTGAAATCAGTCAGTGAGATGTTTAGAATAATTGCACAACACAGGTTAGGTTATCAGTGAGTGACATTCAATTATAAGTTTGTACTACCTTGTATAAACGAGCTCTCTGTCTGCATCGTTCCGACATTTAGAAACTGTATGTTTGTAATCATTGGTTCTGAGATATTTGATGAATCATGAAACAAGTGACAGTTTACAAAACTAACTTAGGATATAGAACTTCAATCGAAATTGCATTACTAGTGTACACCCAGTGATATTTTAAACAACACAATAACTTACCATTAATCCATGCTGCAACGCTTGCATACTGTACCAACCGGCTATACCATAGTGGTTTGAACCTTGTTATGAGGAAAAACAAGACCGTGCCAGATAATATAGAAATATATACTTAACTGTGTCATCATATTTAGGACCACTTTGTTCATAATCGAAATCAAAAGAAAAAAATTCAGTTAATGGTTTCGTAAGTACATATGTGTTTGGATTATTGATTTGTATTTGCAAAAACTGTCGTGGGCCAGGGTTCACTCCAATATTAATTTGATGTAACAGCTAGGTTGTATAGACATACTATGCAATGCAGCAATGCTTATATTTATTGTATATACATTGTATAAAATCAGGTTATGACATTTCTGCTACATGAGTTGATTGCACTTTATCCCAGCTACTGTAATTAAGTGTGACTACTACAATTGATGAAATGTAACTATATACAATGTATGTTCTGTGAGATAAAGTATGTGTTCAAAAGTATAATTAACATAATATACATGGAAGTCAAGTAAAGTACCCCATTTCGTCCTATTCACATATTGTTGATTATTGTACATATTTGATTAAATTAAACCATGTGCTTACCTTTAGCTACAACCCAGCCTACGCCTGATTGTTTGGCTTTCTGTATTGCTAGTTCCATGGAGAAGTTTCCCACCACAGGCCCAAGCAGATTATTGCCATTTACATGAGCAGTCGCGGCAAACTCTGTTAAAATGATTGGCTCTTTGTCGGACACTGTTGTTCCACTTTTTATGTCGTTCACATACATATCTACAAAATAAAATGGTATTGTTATAGTAGACATAAAGCGACCTTTTCCCTTTCAAACAAAACCAATGTATGAATATGTATGATCGACACACGACCATCGACGTAAAACTGGTGAGTAATGTTTCCACTGGAGGGGACGATTTGAAAACCCAAACCACAGATGATCAGCGACGTACAACGTCTTCAAATGGGCCATTCCAGTTTATATCTGCACCCCCCTGTTGATGAGGTCGGATTTCCAGCACTGTATGATGGGGAAAATACCCCGGAATTCCAACTGTATATGGAGAAACAGAATCTGGAAATCCAGACGTGTATGGATTTTTTTTTCCTGGAAATCCAGGCAGTTATGGCTACTAAATTAAATGTGGCCTTGTTTATCTCGCCATATACCGGTTGATGAGGATGGATTTCCAACACTGTATGACTAAAAACACTTGGAATTCTGATTGTATATGGTAACACAATTTGGCCAGTATGAAATATTTATTACTGAAATTAGAT